GCTGGTCTCCCCAGGCTTGTGGAGAGGTGCGCGAAGCCCGGGCGCGCTCTTCAGTGCGCACCAGGCTTCAGAATGCAGGCAGCTCTGCGCTACTCTCCGGAGCCCCGCGCGGCTTCGCGCCGGGATTGGGAGGGTGGCGCGGAGCTGCAGGAAGCCCTGGAGAGCAGGCAGCTCTGCGCTACCCTCCGGAGCCCCGCGCGGCTTCGCGCCGGGATCCGGAGGGTGGCGCGGAGCTGCAAGAAGCCCTGGAGCGCAGGCAGCTCCGCGCCACCCGCCGGAGCCCCGCGCGGCTTCGCGCCGGGATCCGGAGGGTGGCGCGGAGCTGCAAGAAGCCCTGGAGCGCAGGCAGCTCCGCGCTACCCACCGGAGCCCCGCGCGGCTTCGCGCGGGGGTCTGGAGGGTGGCGCGGAGCTGCAAGAAGCCCTGGAGCGCAGGCAGCTCCGCGCCACCCGCCGGAGCCCCGCACGGCGTCGCCCCGGGCTCCGGAGGGTGGCGCGGAGCTGCAGGAAGCCCGGGAAAGCCTGCATTCGCTCCATAGGACGCACACACATTTCCCCTTCACTTTTGGAGGGGAAAAAGTGCGTCCTATAGAGCGAAAAATACGGTACATTTAATTCACTTACTTCCTGTTTTAAGGTGATCCACAGTCTATTGCTACATCTGAACTGGGAAATAGGGTTGTGCATACCCTCCAAGCTGAAATTGAGAGGGCAAGCCAAAACATGGTTTGCCAGTTTAGCTCAAAGCAAGAAATAAGTGAATCTGAATGGAGAGAGGAGAAACCCGCAGGCTGGAACATCTCAAGAACCATAGGAAGTTTTACTCTTGTAAGATTGAACGTATTGCCCTCGGCTGTACTTGAGGGACGATTCCAACAGATTCCACATGAAAAACGCTTATGTCCCTGTGGAGATGGCAGTACTGAATCGGTGGTGCATGCCCTTCTGGCTTGCACTCTTTATAAAAACTTGAGGAATGAGGTTATCACCCCTTTTTTATTGTCCATTCCAGATCGCAAAGCCACTGCCACAGTCTCCTTTCTCTTGGCAGATCAAGATGAGCAAGTGACAGCAAAGGTTGAAAGGTTTTTAGCTGGGGCAATTAGAATAAGTTCCACTATTTGACTATTGATTCAAAGCCTAAAATGTATTTTATACAACTGACTTCTTTTTTTTGTTTGTATATTGTATTGTTGTTTTATTGCAATGGCCGATGGCTGACGCAAGTAAAGATTCATCCATTCATTTTCAAGTACCATAGAAAGTTAAGTAACAGAGGAGACAAAGCCTCTCCTGACAACTGTGAACATACATAAAGAATGCTAAATCTAGAATGCTAGCTCTAGTATTTGCGTGTTGCAATTCTCCATGCATCTTTAATCCACATGAACCCTTTATCAATTCAGAATCCTCCACAAGGTCACACACAACACTTAGCCACATGCCTTTAATGTGGTTTGGAAATATCCAGCTCTTATGTCAGTTTCTGTTTGCAAGGGGGAGTAACAGCATTAATAACTCCTGGTTATATCATTTATAAACATGCAGATGTGGGTTATTAAAGATTAATGCATTTCAGGATTGGTGTCGGCATTCCGTTTGTCTCATGCCAAAACCAATTCTGTTCTTCATTAGTCAACGACAACCTACATCACCCTGTTGTGGAAGAGAAATCAAAGGTACAAGTGTGAATTGAGAATAAGCGATGAAACTGATTACTAAGAAACTTAACGGCTGTAATCAATCAACACATCTCAATAATTTGAGTCCACCACTATCTGGGGATAAGGGGGGTAAATCCACAAGGATAGTTTGTTATTATTTGAATACATCCTTAGAAACACCATTATCAATGACCTCTAAAGAATTTTTTAAGCACTTCTCATCTTTACAAATATAACTAATTGTGGAAATTGTAATTTGAAAAAGGAAATTAATAAATTAGTAAATAATAATTCTGGTTTTGAATTAATTTCCAAAATTGTAGCTCTGCCATAGAAGATAATAGGAGCAGCTCATAAACGCCCCCTGCAAATACTTTTCTTTTTCAGTGACTTTGTCCCGGTACAGTGGTTGACAGTTATGTCTTCCATGAATAGACACTGTCTTCCTTGGATAGACTACACAATTCTCATAGTTCTTACACTCTCACAGAAGTGGCAGTGACAATATATAAAGAAACTGTTGAAGTGTCAGTCCAGCAACTACACTTGCAAGTTCCACAGAACTATGTTTCCTCTATTTCATGCCAATGACAGTAGGGAATAGAAGATTTGTGTATACCTTAAAAGTTACTTCTGCTTCATGCGTTTGCGTCGGAGGACAGTAGGGAAGACAGGGCTCTGCAGGGTCCCTAATCTATATAGAAGTGGTGACAGTCTACAGCAGCTCAGAAAATAAACATCAGCCAGAGTTTGATTTATAAGAAGTTTTACCAAGAAATAAAGCCCTGCAGCCAACAACAACAAAAATTAGTTGACAAAGCGGGAACAGACTAACTGAATTGCCCTGTAAATGCATCCATCATTTCTTAATATTGAAACATCTGATGGAGGAAAAAAAGATACCTTTCCATTTATGATGCGTTCACATCAATATTTTATGATGAGAACACATGAAATGGAAAGAGGAGAATGTAAATTGTTTCATCTGTAAGACCATAAACTAGACATGTATAAAACTCATATTTTCATAATGCAATAATCAAAAATACAGTATTTTTCATGAATGTGACAACTGTGGATGAATGATGGGATAAAAAGTATTACTTCAATAAAGGACCAGATTTTAAACATTTACAAATTAAAAGAAAATTCTAACTGGGAATGTGAATTAAGCAACAGATGTTGCAGGTAAACAACACTTTTACGACTAAAAAGGGTGAAAATACTGTAATTATTTGTCATAGTCTCCTCTAATACAAGGAAATGTCTATAGTTTTAGACACATATTAAACATAGTTTAATTATTTTAACATGGTTTTAATGATTTGATTATTTGTGGTAGTTTAAATTAGTGCAACACATTTATTCATGGGTAACCTATGTCTTAAAGGTTTAAGTTACTTAATAGTAACATAAGAAATTAAAAGCTCTGAAAAAAAGGGAATAGGAATTATCCTCATGGTGCTAATACCTTATGTGAATAAGTCCTTTGGCTGTTATCCTGCATTGAATTATGTTGCTCAAGTCCTACTGAGCAACTCATTACTTTGCAAGATTGCAACTATAGAATTCAGCAAAAATTACTTATCATTAAAGGTGTTCAGGATTGAGACCCAATTAATGTCTATAATCTGGTGGATTTATCTTTTCTTCAAAGCTAAAATTTCTTTCAAACCAGAAAAAAAAATTGTGTTGCTATCACAGTAAATCTACAAAGGATCGCAATGGATGAAGAATATTGCAGATTGCTTTATTTGATATAAGTTGTTTATTTTAAAGTTAATGTGACTTTTTTGTATTGGATCAGATTGTTATTACGTGTGTGATCTTTGCTGTCTATTTTGTTGTTTCTTCAGCTTGTAAACTGCCTTGTGTATAGTAATATACAGTGGTACCTTGGGTTAAGTACTTAATTCGTTCTGGAGGTCCGTATTTAACCTGAAACTGTTCTTAACCTGAAGCACCACTTTAGCTAATGGGGCCTCCCGCTGCCGCCGCGCTGCCCGAGCAGAATTTAAGTTCTCATCCTGAAGCAAAGTTCTTAACCTGAAGCACTATTTCCAGGTTAGCGGAGTCTGTAACCTGAAGCGAATGTAACCTGAAGCGTATGTAACCTGAGGTACCACTGTATAAAGGAGGTATACAAATTAAAACTGAAATGAAATGAAGAACAGTCTGCTTCACAGGCAAGCACTGGCAAATCTACCTGCCTCCCTGTTGGACGTAAATAATTGGACAAGAAAGACTCATAGCAGTCTCAGATAGGCTCGTGCAATAGTTTGGCTATGAAAAGAAACAACTGGTATTTAATCGACAGTTTCTGTTTTTAGCCAAGTGTCCACAAGTAAGGCAAGGCCCCACCTTTGCTTGCTAGATGGGTGGAGGAAGAGGCGGGTTCTTGTCTGACTTGCAGGAAGCTTTAGAACAGGGGTGGGAAACCTGTTGTTGGACTCCAGGTCCCATAATTCCCAGTTGGCATGACCAGTGGCCAGGGATGATGGGGAGCTGGAGTCCAACAACATAATCATTTCTGCTTTGGAGAAAGATAGAATCAGCTTGAGAAACACCTGTTTCTTTCCCCCTCCAAAGCTTTCTGCAGGTGGGGAAAGCTCTGCCTTTCTCTTTAATAAGCATGGAAGGTTAAAGGGAAAGGCAGAAAAGTACTTAGTGAACAGGAAGTGTTGGCAACAGAGACAAGTACCAGCCCTTCAAATCTTCCTGCAAGTAGGACAAGACCCTGTCCCCCTTTGAAACCTATTGTGCTTCCTAGAGGCCCACAAGGAGAAGACAGAAGACTCAGCTACACAGCTGCAAATAAACAGTTTTAAATGTGTGGCAAAATGCAATATACAAATGTGACACTAGATGGCAAAACTGAGCGATGCAAAATTCAATGTATTTTTCAAAACTTTGTTTCTAAAAAGCATTTTCACAGCTTTTTTTTATATATGTGTAGATTCCACCAGAATTTCCCCTGCCTTGGAGAATGGCAGAAAGTGAGAGAGACACGTGCTGCAACTTTCCATTTGCTAGCACCTCTGCAAAGGAGAGAAGATCCCACCATTCCCTTCTGGCTTCTAGCAAACATAGGGGGCTTGGAAGAGAAATGGTTCAAAAAAAGAAACAAAATACTAGACATATCTGCCACTTTTTACCTTCTCCACACTGCTGGTGCAAGTAAGACCAGACTCCATGGACTTGCCCAAGGGGTGAGAGGGCAACATAGGAAGCTGCCTCATGTTGAGTGACACCATGGTTGTATCTAGTACACTACTGTCTACACTGACTGGAAGTGGCTTACGGATTTCAAATAGGATTTCAGTCTTTCTAGCCTATCTTGAGATGCTGAGGATTGAACTTGGGGCCTTCTGCATACTAAGCAGGTGTTCTACTATTGAGCTATGACCCTTCCTCAAATAGGTAGGTAGGAATAGGCACAAAGGCAGAGGCTTGGGTAGTAAAGCCAAGCTGATATGTGTAGATTCCTGTCCGTAGGGAATGCTATCTTCCCTTGTGGAGAAGCCTGGTGCTAACCTGTTCTATTTGACTGGTAAGACAGAAGCTGTTGCTGCTCATGAACTGCTGCTATATGTTGGGGACAGAGACTGAGAAGCCTGGAAACTGAATTCCTTTATTATCATTATCACAAGGCAACGTGGACTGTAATTCTATATATCTTAATTCACCATTTCACACATCTGCACATTCTATGCTCCTCAACTTTATGATACCAATCTGATTTGTAAAACTAAACAGTCAGGGCCAATTCTGGAGCTTTTTCAGGTGAGCACTCTGAATATTATTACAGCAGGGCTGAATTAGCATTAAGCTTTATATAAGCAACCAACCACTCAGAGGCTGCCAACCTTTTTTCCTCCCAACAAGGTGCTCACATCTTTAAAAGCTGGATCAGAGGCAGAAATTGAGCCTACTACTATTACTATTACTTATCAGCCACCTTACTCATGGAAATGCCCTAAAGTGACTTTCAGACACAGTAGAAATGCAAACACTAATGACAATAAACACAATCAATAAAAAAATAAAAACAAACAAACCCACATCTATACAAGTAAGAAATGACTTTTAGACAGGCACATAAAATCTAGGCATTATATGAAGTTCATCTTGCTCTTCATAGTGTCAGAGAATTGAAAAATAAAGCTACAGTTAAGTGAACAAATGAAATGTTTCCCTTGTATTGCTGTGACGCCGTTCTGAAATTTGTAAAACTGCAAAGTAACTGTTTTGTGCATGAGGTGTAACTTTGTCAATTAAACTGTTGTACTGCCAAGGCCAATAAATGTCATTCCTGAATCTCAAAAAACAAAACAAAACAAAACAAAACAAGCTGCTGTAGAACATTTGACTCTGGAGAGAAACCTTTTTAAACATGAGAGATTTTAAAAGGGCGATCATGTCAATTTCACTAATGCATAATCCCTTTGTTAGAGTGGGTTAAAATAACAGCAAAACCAGAAGAGACTCAAAAGGTTCCTCTCAAATGAGCTGTCTCTTCCTTTGAATGTTAAACAAAACTGGTTGGGTAAGGCGTACAAGTGTTTGCTATTTACTCTTTGATTTGGCTGCATGGGAATGGGTCTTAGTTTATAGTTTCCTAAGATTTAACAACATCCTCTTCCATTACAGACTGCTTGCACTCCCAAGACAATTGGGAGTGGGGGTAGTGTTTACTATTTTGGATAGTTAGTCCACAGAATAATCAGGGCTTGCATCAGGGTGTTTCTGTGGCTACTAAAGCACCTGGTGAACATATAATATTAGGGCTTGAGAGCTGCCATAGATTCATGCACTCACAGTCTCTTCCTTTTTACATTTTTGCTTTGTTAGTAAATTGGGAGTTTTGGCCCAGGAGGCAAGCCAAGCTAGCATTCACTCTCTTCTCTGGCATCAGCAATGCATTTTGATGTTCTGCTGTGTCAGCTTCTACTCCTCAGCTCTGGCTGAATTAGAGAGAGTAGTGTGCAAGCCTCCTAAATGACATGCATCGTTTTTTACTAGTATTAATATACCAGGACATATAGCATAATAATTTAGTAAAATACGAATCATAAATGAGGAAACCGAAGTATAGATTGTACAGAGATATATGCACGGTCTCTCTCCCCTCCTTTGGGTGTTTATTTAGAAAGAAATTTTTTAAAACCAAAATCTAAGTTACAGATTGCTAATGTCCCCAAAACACAAATTATACATTGTGGCATTGTTATAAAGGAAGATGATTTGATAAATTATTTATTCATAAACTTGTACAAGTTGTTGTCCTTAATAGTAATTCTCCACTCTGTATTTTATTCCCAGAGTGGAAATGCTGTCAGGGAACAATTATAGAGGATAATAATAATAATAATAATAATAATAATAATAATAATATTTATACCCCAAACATCTGGATGGGTTTCCCCAGCTCTGGAGAATTATTATCAGAAATACAGCTTTTGGTCTGCACAGGGGGGGAAATGACTATTGCGTTTTAGGGGATAGTCTAGTGTTGGGGCTGTGCCAATGTATTCTAATACTCGCAATGGGTGATCATGAACAACATGGGAGAGAAAATTTGCAATGGGGGAGAAAAGCATTTAAACATTACATGTGACAGAACAAGCCACTGGGAAGCTTCTGTGGCAGGTTAGTTGTGTGTGTCCTTTCGATGTTTCTTTAGCTGCCAATTTAATCTCATCTGAGGAAGGAAAGAAGTAAAGGATTCTTTCGTGCCAGCAAGCCCTAGGAATACACCTTTATTTTAACAGCCTTCCCAGAAAGGAACCCCCTGCTACATTTTGGCGTTGTCTTGTCATAGCTATCAGCAACACAACAGCTGCTTGTTTTACAATGACTTGCTAGAGAGAAAATGATAGAGGAAGCCAATCTATGTCACATGGAGATGCTCATAGCAAGACATAACAGGTGGTAATACAAGAGCATTGAGGTCAGAACAAATAAGGTAGGATGAGCAGGAAGAGAAAATTCACTGAAGGCAGGGCCAGATTAAGACCTTTAGAGGCCCTAACAACTTCAAAGATGGTGGTGCCCCCATATACAGTATATCTAATTCAAAATATAAACAATAACAAACTGTAAAATAAAATTTTGCTTTTTGAAATGAAACAAAACCTACAATACAATGGAAAATATTTATTTTTGTATACTTCCAGTTTATTTATATTTGAAGAATTTTCTCCCACTTTTTCTAACTGCAAAACCTTTGATCAGATTCTCAAAACTAATCTTACGTAACACATCTGCTTCTATACTTAGTAGAGATAAGGTCTGCAGCCTGCCTTGCTTCATGGTTGTTCTGTTGGTATTTTAAATGTACTTAAACTGGTAAAATGAATGCTCAGCTGAGCAATTTGTGACCATTAATGTTAAAAATCTGGCAACAGAAAATTTCTGTGGTGTTCCCCTTCCCTTGATGCCCTAAGCATGTGCTTATTTTGGCTAATGGCTAATCCAGCCCTGACTGAAAGTAGAGAAAGATCACATGACAGGAACATTTTAAGACAAGTTGAGTCCCTTCATTCAAGGCCTTTGGGATAGTGGAAACCCACAATCAATGTTTTTGAGATGCCGGAGTCCAGTTTGTGTAGCAAACTACCAAGAATACCTCCTGCACAACCCAGTTCTATAAAGGCAGTGTGATACTTAAATCTTATGTCACAGTGTGATAATTCATCTAATGTCTGAATTATTTAGCACATGGAAAATGTGATCTTTGTCCATGATGGGAAAGTGCAAAGCATATACAAATGCTGAAGGAAACATTTTAAAAATGAAACAGTAGAGGTTAGATTTTTTTTTTTTTTTAAAGCCCGCCATTTACCTGGAATACTTGCAGGAGAAATGGGACCAGATCTTGACTGGTTGCTTCCAACGGGAGAGCCCACAGGGGAAGGGGAAGGCCCCCCAGGGATACTGGAGAGATGTGGGGAGGCATGAGGGGAGAAAGGCGACTGTGCCGGGTTGCTCTGCTCCCCTTGACTGCTGGTGGAACCTGATGCACTAACCGCTGAACTCAGTGTTGCTTCAGTTCCTGTGGGCAGGTCATCAATGGAACCAGATAAATCCTGAGAAAAAAGAGGGGAGGGGGAAATTGGTAAAGGAGCAGTTGGAACCAACATCCAAGGTAAAGTATGTGGAACAGCAGAAGATGGTAGGACATTTTTCAATTTGAGACAGAGTCATGGGAAACACTGTCTTGAGCTGAAAAGAAGGGGTTAAAATTTTAAACAAATGGAGCACTGTTTGGATTTTCCTCATGCCACCCCACAATATAAAGGCATAACAAATGTGCAACACACACTCAAGATATGTCATATTTCCCAGGAAGTCAAGGCAGTTAGAGGGGAAATGCATTCACATTTCAATTTACCTTATTTCTTACTACAACGTGGCTGCAAGTTAGACCTTTGCTAAAACCCCAGTGAATCACTCATGGAGCTCTATATATATATTACCTGGGTTTCTAGGACACTCACAGGTGTCCATTTGTGCATATTTTAGTGTTCTCAGTATTTTATTTTGCCATTTATTAGATGACTATCCTGTACAATTATTTATCCTATTAACCCATTTATACATGGTGAATTTTTGAATATGATGCTGGTGCTGCAGTACAGTACTTTTATTCACTTTAAAATCAGATAGAAAAAGCAAGACCCAAATCCCTTAGCAAATTACATTAATGCAAGATTTGTTCTGGTGTGCTGCTTACATACCACTATAGTAAATACAGTGAGCTCATTTAAAATACCCCTCAGGCTTCAGGGGTTTCATTTATTTTATTTTATTTTCCATAACCACAAGGCATAATATTGGAAACATAGCAATCACTTCTGCTATACCAACAGAACACAAAGTTATGGCAAGTAGTGAATTTATGCCAGTTGCACCAGTGGTGTACAATCACAATGCCAGTGAAATAGGAAAAAATGCACAGAGCTGGCAGAGTGGAGTCCTATGTTACTTCAAAGGTTATTCTCACTCTCAACGATGACATAATAGAAAATGGTGGCATAATAAAAACATTCCATTCGATCACAGAATCATAGACTCAAATGCAAACGCTTCCTCATTTCCTTGTCTGTCACCCAGCCACATCAAAGGATACAATTCTGACTAATTCAGAAGCCAATCTATGAGTTCCAGAAAGAAAAAACGGATCTCATATAGAATTTTTTGTGGCATGTGGCTGTGAATGCACAAATGAAAGCTCTGGTGATGGAAAACATGGTGACAGGGAATGTAATGCATGAGAAGACTTAGGGTGCATTTAGGTACTCTGTTGCAGGACCCTGGATTTTGTTTTAACCCACCAAGAACCTCATCGCCACTGCTGTAATTGGGGTTGCAAAAGTGAAGCATCTCCTACTCTGACTGGCTAA